TTGGGTAGTATCTAATTCTTATACACTACAACAATGGCCACATTTTCAAAGCCTTTGAAAGTCCACTTTAAATTTGGGTATTGGGCCTCCCCTAATGAACAAGCTAATGGAAAGTCAGTGGGCTAGGGAGCGAAATGTAAAGGGTCACTGACTGAATGTATCAGACTTTCCTGGTTCAGACAACTCTTGTTCCTGTCACCTTGTGAGAGGCAAAGGGTCCCACTGATTTGAAAATAAAATGGTTGGTGATGAAGGGAAATAGGAATCCCCTCCCATGGACTCTAGGGTAATGTGAGAATTCCACCCACAGCTTAAAAATAGTTGAGCCCACATTCCCTTTTTTGCCCATATTCTCTGGTGACTGGGGCAAATGGGGGGCAGGACATCTCCTTCTACCTCCACTTTCAAGTAAAAATTAAAACAAAAAATCCAGTCCAAAACCAGGCCCAGATCCATCTGCTTGCCCACCAGGAGCTACAAGAGATTAAATGTATTCCTCCATCCCTATGGTTTAAGTAACCACCAACCTTTGCTGGGAGAATGGACAGGGTCAAGAGCTTTCTTTCTTCAGGGAGCTCTGAAACCTCCATACCCCTCCCTTTCCTCCCCTCTCCCCCCATTTCCCAGTGAGTAGCTTTCGGTCTGGGACTTTCCACCTCAAAATGGCTTTTCTCTGGTTATGGGGAAGACTCTGCACCATTTAAATCAGTGGGAATTTTGCCATTAGCTTCAGTGGGGGCTGGACTGGACCCTAAAATGGCATGCAGTGGATTTAGTCTCTGCCATCAACTGAGACTTGGGCAGCTTGGAAATCAGGCTCCAAGTATAGTGTGCTGGCCCAGGCCCATAGATGATGACAGATCACATTACAAACCACAGACAGTCTCTGTGCAAGAGTGAAAGAAGAAGCGCATTTAAGGACAGGGCCGGCTCTGGCTTTTTCGCCGCCCCAGGCTCTCCCCCCCCCCCCCGGGGCCCGGGGCCCGGGGGGGGCCCGGCCCCCCCCCCCCCCCCGGCAGCCAGAGCGCCGCGCCGCCGCCCCCCTCCAGGTGCCGCCCCAAGCACCAACTTGGGTGCCTGGTGCCTGGAGCCGGCCCTGTTTAAGGACATGGGACTTCTTCTTTATGACTGCAGAGCAGTAATTTCAAGGGAGCTTAGCTGAGAAATCACCGTGACTATCTTCTTTGTGCATATGACCCAAAATGTTTGGCATCCTTCTAAGGGCATGATCTACTGAGGACATAATATGCTCAGCATTAATGAAAGGCTCGTTTGCTCGTGATAGAGCCTAATGCTGTTATAGACTTTACAGCTTTTTAAACATTTGAATAGTATCTGTGCGAATGTGTCTGTCTCTGAAGGTGAAAATGGCATGGATGGAAAACAAACCCGTTTATAATACAATGCTACTGTCTTCAATATGAGGGGCAGACACGGGCAAAAAGTAACAGGAGTCGATCCAAGCTAGGAAAATGCAAACCAATATATCGGAGAAAGCAATAATCCAACATGCATGTGCTCAGTGGGACAGGGAAACCTGGAAGCTATAATTCTGAAAGAGACCTAGGGAGTGATAGGGAACAGCAAATTAGACATGAGTTTGCAGCATAATACATTGTGGCTTCAAAACAGTTCTGGACTGTATTTGCCAAGCATACCACTGCAGGCCAAGTAGATAATAGTATCTGTCTCCAAGGCTCTGATTCAAACTATGCCTGGTATTTTTGGTTTAAGGTTTAGGCACCACCTTCCAAAAGTATACTGACAAATTGGAGGGAGCTCAGAAAAGAACAACAAAAAGATAAGGGGCATGCAGGGACTGGAAGATTAACAGAGCTAATTATCTATCTCTTGGCTAATCAATAGCTAAAGGAGGATTGGATAACAGCCTACAACTATTTGAAGGGTGTGAAATCCAAGTTGCAAGAGTATTTATGTAGGGACATACTCTGAAATATAACTACGAGTAACAGAATGAGGTTAAGATAGGGAAAAGGTAGGCTGTGTATTAGGAAAAACTTCCTGCAGTATTGGTTTGTGGAATACCCTCCCCATGGATGTGCCGGAAACACAGTTGCTTGGCATTTTTAGAACTTGCCTTGATTAAAACACTAAATTCATAGATTTTTTTAAAGGCCAAAGTGGACCATTATGCTCACTTAGTCAGAGCTTTTGTAGAAAACAGGCTGTACAGCGTCACCAAGTAATTCCTGCATCAAGTCCATAACTTGGCTAGAGCATATTTTTTAGAAAGGCATCCTATCTTAACTTAAAGACGTCAAGTGACGGAGAATCCACCTCATCCCTTGTTAAATTGATCTAATAGTTAATGACCCTCCCTGTTTAAAGTTTGTGCTTTATTTCTAGTCTAAATTTAATCCAGTTTCAGCTTCTAGTTATTAGATCTCATTATGCCTTTTTTTCTGCTACATTAAGAATACTAAGAGATATATCATCAGGGATATTCCTGCAGTGGCAGGGGATGGCACGGAATGAGCTAGTTTTGTCTTTTCCATCTCTTACTTCTATGTCTCAATGAGCTATTCTGTGCACAAACACCTCACTGGAAAGTATAAATTCATTCTAGAAATAATGCAGTCACCGGGGGCTCTAATCTTCGGCGGTGCTGTAATAGCAATTGTCAATGCTCAGCACCATTCAGAATGAAGCCCCATGCTACTTTTTCTGCTGAGCAAATTATGGGCTCGATCCTGCAATTTACTACCGTGTGTAGCGCCACTGAAATGGACAATTGTTCTACTCATACGAGTAAGCGCTATGTTTGGTAGTACATTCAGTGACCATTGAAGTGGGGAGCGTATAAGAACTCAGACTGATAAATCTGCAGGATCTTCTGCTTTTAGTGCTGCCCTAATACAAAGCCAAACCTATCCATTTGTTTTGTAGGATAAAGGGCATTGCTTCCTCTGCAAAGCTAAGCATTACCTTACAAAGATATTTTCCAAAATAGACCCAGAGCAGCTCTGGAATTTCATTTGTCCCCTCTTATACTTTGGATATTGTATTTTGCTCGCAGTGGTTCTTGGCAGTCAGAATAAAAGAAACAAAACAAAACACTGCTTGTGTTCACTGCCTGTCCCCAATCAAATTTATTTCCCTCTGATTTTCAAGCAACGTGTTTTTCACACCAGCCAGCTGCCTTACTCATGGTAGCTTTAAAACCAGAATTGTGCTGGTTTGAATTTAAAGTGTAGCTTACAGAAGTTATTTTCTATTTTACATTGGTCAGCAACTAAAACTCCTTAGAAGCCAGACACTAGAACTCAGATGGTAACTTCTGTTTGTTATTGAGCACTGTACTGACCTTCATTGAGATTTTTGGAGTTTAGCAATTCAGTTTAAGTTTAAGTACTGTAATTCTCTCTGTCATGTGTGATCACTCAGAGATTGTACTAGCCATTGAATACTACTGCTTGGTGTAATTGCTTTCAAACCTTCTGCTGCCTGACTGAAAGCTACATCATATGATCCAACAGCACATGATTAGCAGTTTAATATAGTCTCTGGAACAAGGCATGCAAAAGAAGTTTTTAAAAACTGTGAGTACATGTCTCATTAGAGATGCTGCATCTGTTTTTAAGGATTTAAATAGTTTTAATATTGTGCATAAACCATCTTCTGTGGTGTGTGTAGTTTTGATAGTACAGTGCCAAATTCAGAGCTCAGATATGAGCTAGCTCATCTGTCTATGCCAAATACACAAGTATATAAAATCCCCTTATTCAAAAAGCATGCTAAGAATTTTCTTATTTCACTGGCCTCAGTAGATGTAATTCTAGAGTAAGTCAATAAACCTAAAATACAGGTCAGAAGTCAGAATGTAAGTAGAGCAGATAAAATTTTCTCTGAAGTTCCTTACTTGTAAAGGTAACTTCTTAATTCATTTGAATGAAAAAGGCCTTCCTTTGTGTTATAGTAGTATAAAAAATTCTGAGTTATAGTAGTAGTATTTAAGGTTCCTCTCTTATATAGACTAAATGAAAAATTGGTACTGACATGCTAAATATGCTGTTGAGACATATTTACATTTTGCACACTGAAACCCAATTAATGATTATAAAGAGAGACTGTGAAAATGAAAACTCATGATTTTAATTAGAAGCAAAATATAGGACAGCGCAAAAAAAAACTTTCTCAAAATATCTATTGCAATGATGTGGCCTTATTCTGTTTTAAAAATGGAAATAAAATAGGCATGACAGGATGTTGTTCCTTTTTTGTTCTTTTTTTCATGATGCAGAATAATTTACCAAATTTTGCTTTATATTACTGTAAAATGTCTAGGAAATATTAGTAAACCATTTATTGACAAGTGAGGTTATTCCTCAAATAGAAATAGTGATTTTTTTTTAAAAACGGTGTGAATAACTCTATTTGATTGCACTGGGGGGGGGAAGAGGGGAGGAACAGAAAGGAAAAAAATCAAAGAAGTTTGCTAAAATAACCCAACAATAGCTTTTCCTCGGTTAATAACTACAAAAATCACATTAACAATCCTGATGAGCCTTTTCTTCCTCCAGAAAACGCACAATGAGGAGACCATTTTCCCCAGTCCCACAAAAAAAACCCAACCCAAACCCCAAAACCTCTTATGATTGTCAGGCAGGGTGAGTGAGAACAATTTGAATGAGAGGGGGAAATCATAAAAGTGATGAGAGACTCTGTCAATGTGCCCCTGTCACAGTGTGCATGTACATGGCTGGGGAAGAAGATGAGCGAGACTAGACAGAACTTCCTTACCACTGAATCCCCAAGGGGAGGGCGTACCCTCCCTCCCCCACCCTTTGGGGAGCTCTGAAGTTTTGATCTAACCTGAGGTGTTCTCTCCTAGGTCTCCTCCATTGGTTTTAAAGCATCAGTAGTTCCCAGTTCAAGGCTTGTTGCTGTTTTGGGTTAATACTTTGTGCAATACTAGACAGATGTGGGAGCAAGGGAATTGGACCCCTCCCTCTGTCACGTCCCTTCCCCTCTGTACTAACCAGCAATATCCCAGAGCTGCAGCCGTACCACCGTCTCAGCATCCCAGTTGAGCACCTTCAAGGCAAAGTCCACCCCAATGGTGGCCCGGTAGTGAGGGGAGAAGTTCTGGTGGACGTAGCGCTTGATGATGCTGGTTTTGCCCACACCTAGGTCCCCAATCACCAGTAGCTTGTAGAGATGCTCTTTCTGACTAGGCTTCTGCATCTTCCCTGCTGCTGCTGCTCCCTGATTGCATGCTCTGCTGGTAGGATCCTGCCAGGCTCAGGGGGAGAGAGGGAGTGAGGAACCAAGGAGGGAAGAAGTGAAGGGAGGTGGAGGCTCTCTCCCCTATCACAGAAGCAGCAACGCCCAGATCCAGCAGCCAGCCGAGCTGGAGGATGAAAGAAACATGAGAGCAAATCAAGCAGGAAAAGTCTTCCAACAAAGTTTTTTTTTTTTTGCAGAGTCTAGTGTAAGGTGTCTGTGGGCTAAGTAATACCACAGGGACTAAAGGGTTTGCATGAAAGACAATGCAATAGACAGCCCTGGCCATGTTTCACTGCTTGTTGCACCGAGAGTCCCTCATGTGTGAATTAGATTTAAGGCAATTTTTAAGAACACTCATCCTTTAATAATGGATATTTTCCCCTCTGTGTGTTTCAACAAGCACGCAACATACCAGGCATTAAAAAAAAGAAGAAAAAGAAATTTCCTTTCAGATCATCACAGCTTGGCTAAGGCCTGGTATACACTTAAAAGTTTTACTGATATACCTATGGTTAGGGATGCAAGGTTTTTTTAGCATAATTGTTATACCAGTAAAAGCCTTCATGTGGATGAAGTTATTCCAGTACAAAGGTGACTTATTCCCTTTCCCGTATAGAGGAAATAGTTACGCCAATATAAAGCATCTTTAGATCAATATCACTGCTTCCACATTAGAGGATTTGTACCACTTTAACTATACTGGAATAGTTAAGATTGTATACCATTTAAGGGTAAACAAGCTCATAGCCACTCCACACAACTGATTTAGTGTTGTTCTTCCTGTTCATAGAACTGGAATCTAAAATGAAACATGATGCACACCAGTTCCAGCAGCGTTTTCCTGGAATGCTGATAAACTTCACTCATGAGAAACAGGACAGTATTGCAGAATATGGATGTGGGTGGTCATTGCTCTGTTTGTCAAAATCAAAAGCCCCAACCCTGCAAAAACATATATGTATGCTTAACTTTACACAGTATGAGTGGTCCCATTTGTCTAGGCTAGGAGACCTAGGCTTTCATTTTGAGAGCTATCATGGTAATCAGAAGTTAAGAATTGTAGAAAATTGATAAGGGAAGCCAAGGGACACAAGAAGATCTCTATGGCCAGCAGTGTTAAGGACAATAAAAAAGAGTTTTTTAAGTATATTAAGAACAAAAAGAATCCTGGTCCATCAGTAGATGAAAAGGATAGAATTATCAGTAATAATGCAGAAAATTCAGAAGTGTTCTGTAAATATTTTTATTCTGTATTTGAGGAAAAACAGATGATACAGTCTTATTATATGGTGATTATAAAACTCTTTCCATTCCACTAGTATCTTTGGAGGATGTTAAATAGAAACTACTGAAGTCAGACATTTTTAAATTAGCAGGTCCAGATAACTTACATCTAAGAGTTTTATAAGTTGCTGAGGAATTCACTGGACTCTTAATACTGATTTTCAATAAGTCTGTGAGCACTGGGAAAGTTCTAGAAGACTACAAGAAAGCTAATGTTGTACCAATATTTAAAAAGGGCAAATGGGATGTCAGCCTGACATGGATCCCAGGCAAGATAATGGAGCAGCTGATACGTGACTCAATTAACAAAGAATTAAACGAGGGTAATGTAATTAATGCAAATCAACATGGTTTTATGGAATACATCTTGTTGAAGTAATTGATATTTTTTTTATGAGATTATAAGATTCATTGATAAAGGTAATAGTGTTGAAGTAATATACTTAGACTTCTGTAAGGCATTTGACTTGGTACCACACAACATTTTGATTAAAAAACTAGAATGATATAAAATTAATATTGCACAGTCTGTAAGTACCTACATGGAGAGCAACTATTTAATAATGGGCTCTTCAGTCTAGCAGAGAAGGGTAGAAAACAATCCAATGGCTGGAAGTTGAAGCTAGACAAACTCAGACTTGAAATAAGGTGTAAATTTTTAACGATGAGAGTAATTAACAAATGGAACAACTTGCCAACGATCGTGGTGGATTTTCCATCATTGATGATTTTTAAATATGGTAATGGATGTGGTAAGAGAACTTAAATAGGAAGTAGATTGATAGAGAATATTTATAAATATTTAAATGGAAAAAAAGTTTTGAAGTTATTTCCATTTTGCCAAGTTTGAACTAATCCATTTATTCTTTTTTTCAATTTTTTTACATTTTTTCATAGAAGTTTTTATCCAAATGTTTATTTAAATGATTAGTGAATTTTTTCATTTATTAAAATACAGGTTTTCAGTAAACAAAACATTCCAATAACCATTTCAATAAGATTTTTCATAAAAACTTCTGTACAAATTGAATTTAAAAGTTTTGCAAAAATTTTTGTGAAAATGGAAAATTTCAAAAAAGTCAATAGTTTTTCTTAAAATTCTTTTGTTTTTAAAGATAAAATAAACCCTTTATTTCAAACAATTTCAATCCACTCTTGTTTGTAGCCCTTCTATGTGGAACAATGACACTGATAGGCTACGGCTTTGTCATGGAGGTCGCGGAAGGCACGGAATCCGTGACTTCCAAAGACCTCTGTGACTTCAGCCCTGGCCACTGGGAGCTGTGAGATACCCTTGCCGCCTGAGGCAGCGAGCCCCCAAACTTTCAGCCGCCAGGGGCAGTGGGGGTACTCCACAGCTCCCAGCTGCCGCCGCAGGCATGGGGGGATCCCCACAGTTCCCCACCAGCCATGCCAGCAGGGGCACCCCAGTACCTCCCCAGCCACCACCCCGGGGCAGGAGGACCCCCACAGCACCCCACTGCCACCATGGGGCAGGAGGACCCCAGCAGCTCTCCACTGCAGCAGTGGCAGGGGGATCTCCGCAGCTCCCCACCACTGCAGCAGCAGCATGGAGATCCCTGCAGCTCCCCACCACCGCAGTGGGGCAGGGTGACCCCTGCAGCTCCCCTGCTGCTGTGCGGGGACAGGGGGACCCTGCAGCTCCCGACTCACCCCGTGGCAGCAGGGGGACCCCTGCAGCTCCCCCCTGCGGCGGTGGCAGGGGGATTCCCGCAGCTCCCCACCTCTGGGGAGGGGGCAGGGAGATCCTGCAGCTTCCTTCCACCGCTGGTGGCAGGGGGGACCCTGGAGCTCTGAGCCCCCCACGGTGGTGGGGGGGCCCAGAGCTCCCAGCCACCCCCAGCTGCCTAGCCCCTTCCCATTTTATCATAGATATTTTTGGAAAAGTCAGGGAAAGGTCACGGCTTCTGTGAATTTTTCTTTATTGCCCATGACCTGTCCGTGACTTTTACTTAATATATGCATGACAAAATCTTACTGACAGGGTATGCCCACCCTGTATATTGGAGGTGTGATTGAGCACATGTGGCATACCTCTCTTTAACTGGGCTAGCTTGCTAAACACAGCAGTGAAGCCATAGCAGCATGGCATTAGCTTTACAAGCCCGCCTGGGGAACGTCCCTGTGCTGCCTTGGCTTCATTGCGATTTTTTGTGAGCTGTCTCAATCACGGCTTGCTTGGGTATGCCTTCATGTGCTGGGATCACACCTCCTCACTGTGTTTTGGACACACCCAGAATCTAAATAGCTGCTATGTTGACTGTAGCCAGCCAGACTGAGATGGCAACAATTTAGGGGAAAAGTCAACATACTCCATCCAAACAGTTGTTAACTTTGGCCCGATCCTGTGTTGTCAAACCACGCATTGAATTTGCATTGTTACCTTTGGGTATACAACATGTGACTCTTATTCCTGCATATCTCTAGAACACAAATAAATTGCACTTATGCAGCATTTACCAGCCAAGGATCTCCAAGTGCTCACTACACACCTGTGAGGAAGGGTGTATTAGTGACCCTATTTCACAGACGAGAAAACTGATGCAAAGAGTGGTTAGGAACATAGGAAATATAGGAATTTACATATTGGAGTAGACCCAACATCCATCTAGTCAGTATCTTATCTCTGACAGTGGCCAATACTAATGGCCAAAGGTGCAAGAAACTCCATAGTAGGTAGGGGTAGGATAATTTGCCACATATTAATGTCTTATCCCAATCCCTAATAATCAGAGTTTGGCTTAAACCCTGAAGCATGAGGTTTTATATCCCTTTCAAAATTCTTGTTAGTATTAGCTATTATAATGCTGGATATTCCTGTTTGTCATAAAAATGTCCAATCCCTCTTTGAATCTTGCTAAACTCTTGCCATCAGAGACCTCTTAAAATAATAGACTCAAAAATGATAGAATCGTAGGACTGGAAGGGACCACAAGACAATCTTTTCTCTCTATTGTTGGTGCGTGACCTTATTCTATACATCTTAACTAGTCCATCAGTCTATTTCTATGAGATCCAGGGAATAAGCATACTGTAAACAAAATGTCAAATTATTTGGTACTTTAATGTTCAGCTTTTAATAATCTGTGTCTCCTCTAACAAACACATATAGACTAATTATTTTATTGTCAATACAAATTATTTTAAAAATGAAAACGTATGTGACAATAATAGTTTCTCATATTACTTTACCTTTGTAATCCAAGTACTTGCATCCCCCATTCTCAACCCATATTTATTGTCATCTCTTGCTATGCTACATCTGTTTCAGGTATGAAATCCTTGTGGCGGGAATTTGTCACTTTTAGTGGCCTGGTAGGTGCTCCATACACGCCAGGCATTCTATAAATAACAAGAACAGAAAGCTGCAACAAACTAGATGTAGTAGTTTGAGGGAAGATGTGTAACCCTGTCTACAGTAGTGTTTTTTAGGATTGCTCTGACATCAGTGCCAGAGATCATAGACTTTGGGCCAGGGACCATGGATGAAGTTCTGATCTCATTGAAGTCAGTAGTAATTGGGCCCAGGATTTCATCACGTCTTTGTACAGCACTTAGTACAGTAGGGCCTCAATCCTCATCGAGGTCTTTGGTTGCTACTGCAATACAAGTAAATAATATTTTCCTGGGTGGTGCAATGGCTTTATGCAAAA